ACAGGAAGAGGAAGGAGAGGGGAAGGCGAAGGGGAAGGAGAAGGGGAAGGAGAATGGGAATGAGAAGGCGAAAGAGAAGGCGAAGGAGAAGGGGAAGGAGAAGGGGAAGGAGAAGGGGAAGGAGAAGGAAGGGGAACAGGAAGAGTAAGGAGAGGGGAAGGCGAAGGGGAAGGAGAAGGCGAAGGAGAAGGCAAAGGTGTAGGAGAAGGCGAAGGAGAAGGCGAAGGAGAAGGCGAAGGCGAAGGCGAAGAAGAAGGCGAAGGAGAAGGCGAAAGAGAAGGCGAAGGAGAAGGCAAAGAAAAGGAAAAGGCAAAGGAGAAGGGTAAGGAGAAGGGGAAGAAGAAGGGGAAGGAGAGGCAAGGGGAACAGGAAGAGGAAGGAGAAGGGGAAGGCGAAGGGGAAGGTGAAGGCGAAGGAGAAGGCAAAGGAGAAGGCGAAGGCGAAGGAGAAGTTGAAGGAGAAGAAGGCGAAGGAGAAGGGGAAGGAGAAGGGGAATGCCAAGGCGAAGGAGAAGGCGAAAGAGAAGGCGAAGGAGAAGGGGAAGGGGAAGGGGAAAGGAAAGGAGAAGGCGTAGGAGGAGGCGAAGGATAAGGCCAAGGAGAACGGGAAGAAGAAGGCAAAGGGGAAGGCGAAGGAGAAGGCGAAAGAGAAGGGTATGGAGAAGGGGAAGGAGAAGGGGAAGGAGAAAACATGGAAATTGAAAAGCAAACGGTAACCAAACTACAAAGGGAAGGAGAAGGGTAAAGAGAATGGAAAACAGAAGGCGAAGGAGTAGGAGAAGGAGAAGGAGAAGGCGAACCAGAAGGCGAAGGAGAAGGGGAAGAAGATGGACAAGGAGAGGGAGAAGGAGAAGGAGAAGGCGAACCAGAAGGCGAAGGAGAAGGGGAAGAAGATGGACAAGGAGAGGGAGAAGGAGAATGAGAAGAAGGAAAAGGAGAGGGAGAAGGAGAAGGAGAAGGTGAAGGTGTGTTCGAAGGAAAAGGCAAAGGAGAAGAGGAAAGAGAAGGAAAATAGAAGGATAAGGAGAAGGAGAAGGAGAAGGAGAAGGAGAAGCGGACAAAGACAAGCAGAAACAACAAAGAGAGAGAGAGAGAGAGAGAGAGAGAGAGAGAGAGAGAGAGAGAGAGAGAGAGAGAGAGAGAGAGAGAGAGAGAGAGAGAGAGAGAGAAAGACTAGGGGTGGGGGGGGTTGGGGAGGGACTAGGGGTGTGTGTTCTGAAGGTTTTGTATTGTCGTTGCTCGACCCCGTTTGCTAGTCTTCATGCTAGACATGCTCTGGCCCAGAATATGCATGTTTGTACCGAACCACACTTATCAATACAAAGGACCGTTAGAGAAATAGATAGATAGATAGATAGATAGATAGATAGATAGATAGATAGATAGAGAGAGAGAGAGAGAGAGAGAGAGAGAGAGAGAGAGAGAGAGAGAGAGAGAGAGAGAGTGAGAGAGAGAGGGAGTGAGGAGGAGGAGGAGGAGGAGGAGGGGAAGTAGAGGGAGAAGAAGAAGTTGAGGGAGACGGGGACGGAAAAGCGGAACGCGAAAGCGAAGGCGAAGGAGAAGGCAAAGGAGATGGCAAAAGAGAAGGCGAGGGAGAAGGGGAAGGAGAAGGAGAAGGGGAAGGAGAAGGGGAAGGAGAAGGGGAAGGAGAAGGGGAACGAGAAGGGGAATGAGAAGGGGAGGAGAAGGGGAAGGAGAATGGGAAGGAGAAGGCAAAGGAGAAGGGGAATAAGAAGGGGAAAGAGAAGATATGAGAAGGAAGGGGAAGGGGAAGGCAAAGGGGAAGGAGAAAGATAAGGCGAAGGAGAAGGCGAACGAGAAGGCAAAGGTGAAGGAGGAAGAGAAGAAGGAGGAGAAGGAGAAGGAGAAGGTGAAGGAGGAGAAGGAGAAGGAGAAGGTGAAGGAGGAGAAGGAGAAGGAGAAGGAGAAGGAGATGGAGAAGAAGAAGGAGAACGAGAAGGAGAAGGAGCAGGAGAAGGAGAAGGAGAAGGGGAAGGAGAAGGGGAAGGAGAAGGAAGGACTCTAATACTCAACTGCGTATGGTTTGGATTGGACACTCATTTGAGCGTTGCGTGAATCCATTTGTGGAAGTGAGGGGTGAGGAGCGGAAACGATGGTGAATTAAGTTTTCTTCACAATATGTTATGAAGGCGAAGGATAGAGGAGAGTGTATGAAAGATCCACCTCATATATCTTCACCAAATATTGATTAGCATTGAAAGACTTGCTATGAGTAAGGGCTGCTGTGCCTTATATATGATTTTTCTCACCGCTTAGCACCGCTTTGCAAGTGCAACGGTATACATTTCCAGTTTGTGTGTGTTGAGCGTAGGGAACTGCCACTCATTAGAAGCAGACAGTAGCGTCAATACGCCAAGAGCTGACACGGATTTTTTGTCGGTGTTACACGCAAGTGTGTGTGTGTGTGTGTGTGTGTGTGTGTGTGTGTGTGTGTGTGTGTGTGTGTGTGTGTGTATGTGTGTGTGTGTGTGTGTGTGTGTGTCTATGTGTGTGTGTGTGTGTGTGTGTGTGTGTGTGTGTGTGTGTGTGTGTGTGTGTGTGTGTGTGTGTGTGTGTGTGTGTGTGTGTGTGTGTGTGTGTATGTGTGTATGTGTGTGTGTGTGTGTGTGTGTGTGTGTGTGTGTGTGTGTGTGTGTGTGTGTGTGTGTGTGTGTGTGTGTGTGTGTGTGTGTGTGTGTGTGTGTATGTGTGTGTGTGTCTATGTGTCTGTGTGTGTGTGTGTCTCTGTGTGTACATTCTAATCGTAGGGGCACACAAGCTAGTTGCTGAAGGGAGCCACGTGTGCCCAAAAGGAATGAATTTTGGACACATCTGGGTTTCCAAATACCAACTGCCCTGCGTTTTTCAGTTTTGGACAACTCTGGTTTGTGCACCCTTCTGAAATCGCCAGACGCAACTAGACACACCTCGCTGTTTTGTTTATACTGACCTACTTTGCATCGATAGAGAACGATAGACAGCGCAAGCCTTCTGGGCTTTGATTTTTAGCCTTCGCTTGGCTCTAAAATGTGTATGGTTAAGCACGAAAACCTTTTGAGGTTCATGCCAACCGCAACTTTTAGACTACCAATCTTGTTCCCGCCAAGGTTCCTGTAATTTTCCAGTTCGCTCGAGTACAGTAGGAGAGAACACACACCAGCAGTCTGGTGACGTACAGTAAGCAGGTCGGTGGCATTGTGCGTCACCAAGTACACCACGCTATCAATGCGTTGGCCCGGTCGTTCCCTGATTGGCAGGCACATGGCAAATGTGACGAATACAGCATAGAAATCGTTGGAGCGCACAATAACGTTTGTCTGTGTGGTGGCTTGAAGAGAGCCACGTGTGCATCAGTTGAATAAATTTCTTTTCACCCTTCAGCACTTTCGAGTTTCCAGATTCAGAACTACCCTGTAGTTGTGAAACCACAGGTCTGCGCACCTTTTCTCAAACGCCTGACGCATCCAACAGGAGTTTTGTTTTAACTGACGCACTCTTCTTTGACAGAAAGCGCAAGCAGCTAAAATCTGACGTTAGCCATTGCAACCCTTAGCGTGTGTGGTTACACACAATGATTTTTTTTTTTAACATTCACTCCAGCCAAGTTTCACGCCAAACCTTCCCTGCCAAAAATTCCATGACCACCTACATGGCAGGTAACAGAAACGACAAGCAGCATTCGCTGTCAGGTTGTATGTGAATCAGCAGTTCATTCGACTCGACATTCAACCGGCAGAATGATTCAGCGGTTCAGAATCATCGATATCTAACGGCTCAGATTTGGTCTCGGATTTATATTAGCAGGAAACCGTTTAGCAGATCGATTTTTGAATCGCCACCTCAGCAGCCATATCAATTTCGTACGCTCTAGATTTCAACTGTCTTCGTCAACCGACTTTCTCCAAACGCAATAATGTACACTGTGGTTTTCTGGTTGGGGACTTGACGTGGCGGACAACAGTAGCCAAATTCCCCTCGTGACCTCGTCTCCTCATCACTCCGAAATTCTGTGGTGGGGTGAGTGATTGCCTCCCTGACCTGCAAGTTCACGCCAGTTTCGAAACCGCCGTAACCTGATTTGCGTTTCAGGCGAACGTCGCAACTGTCAAATCAGGTTTAAGCGAATCCAGTTACCATCTGGGGTCGCGCAACTTTTGCCGCAACCGCAACCCCGGTTCTCACGCCCTGAGCTGCAAAACCACAGTAGCAACAGCCATCCCTGCAGCGCAGAATCACGAACCTCCACCCCCATCCCACCAGTTTGTCGCTGCCACCCTAGACCTAGCTAAAGCAGGGCGAAGTAGTACTTACTACAAGTTCCTCGGATTGCCTCGTCGTCAGGGTACCAGACGCATCGCCTAGCCTAGGAGTGCTTGTGGTTGCTGCGTTTGAAGCCCTAAATAGAGATAAGAGGAAGTTGCGGGACTATTTACCGATATTTGAAGACATCGCCAACTAGTATTACTGCGATAGTAGGTCCCGTCACGTCAATCCGATGATTTCCGATCATCGGATTTCCGTCGCTTGATTTTCATGCCGCTTCCGTGACGCGCAAATATCGCTACCATTCGCCGAAGCAGAAGCAATGGGTTGTCTCGTGATGGGACAAGTACTCGTTGTTCCGCGGCGCCGTGTTGCCGCGCATTACTAATGCCTACCTGCGGCGCGCAGGTCCGATTTAGGGTTTGCTACTACGTTGCGTCAGTGCTCGACGCGTTTCTCCGGCACTGGGTCGGTTTTGGCGACCCCAGACGGCTTTTGTAAGCCCAGCGAACGTAGAGCAGCGAAGAACGAGGCGTCAGCAGCGCAGCGCGCGGGCTCGCGTTCCTAGTACTATCCCCCCCACCCCGATCACCCTTTTCCCCGTCCCAATCTCCCCCGCCGCCCCTCATTTCCAACTTCTCATTCCGCCCCCACCAAATCCGCCTCTTTCGTTTGGTATGCCCGCCTGATTCCGGCGCCCCTTCATTCCGTTACCTTGCTCTGCCATCCCCTTTCTCTTTACACACCCCCAGGCATTGGCGCCGCCCCGTCTCGCGCCTCCGTGGCGTTGCAGTGGCGCGATGGCGCAGGGCAGGCAGGCACGGCACGGAACGGCACGACGCTGGGCAGGCAGGCGGCACGGCATGGCATGGCACGGCACGGCACGGCACACGGCACGGCATGCGGACAGCAAGATGCGGATTGCGGATGTCCAGCACGCGCGGCGTACGGGATGGCGATGGTGGCAGCGGAGGGCGCCCCGGCATCATGCCGAGTGCGCATCAGATGCCATCGCGCAGCGGCATGTGCCATCACGGCCTGCAAGCAACCGTTGAGATGACGCGGCTGCGTGGAAGTGGGCAGACGCGCAGATGAGTGGGGCGACTCGGAATTACGAAAACGTCAGAAGGTAACAGCAGCGGCGACAAACAGCAGCGGCGACAGCAGGTGCGGCAATCAGCACTCATAACAAGAGTAGAGCAGAACCAGCAGCATGAGAGGCAACAAGCAGCAGCAGCGTGGGTGGCAGCAGAAGATGAGGAAGGAAGGAGGGGGGCTGGGGCGAGGAGGACAAGAGCAGCAGAAGCAACAACAACAGGTGTGTGGTGCTTCTCTTTCAAACCTAAGAACCGAGAAGAAACGAGGAGAGCATGGTCGTGAGATGATGATTGTGTGAGCTGAATGCACACTGGCTGTGCTCCATGCGTAGGCATGGGCGTGGGATTGTGTGTGCGCATGTGCATACGCCTGCCAAGGTCGCTGCAACATGTTCTCATCCCACTGCTATCATTGCTGCCCCCATGCCTCCCACCCCGCCCCAAATCTCCCTGCCTGCCCCAAATCTCCCTGCCTGCCCTAAATCTCCCTGCCTGCCCTAAATCTCCCTGCGTGCCCCAAATCTCCCTCCCTGCCCCAAATCTCCCTGCCTGCCCCCAATCTCCCTGACCGTCCCACACCTCCCTGCTCGTCCCACCCATACATCCCTGCCTTCTCATACCTCCGTTCCTGCCTCATACCTCCCTGCCTGCCCCATACCTCTCCCTGCCTGCCCCATACCTCTCCCTGCCTGCCCCATACCTCTCCCTGCCTGCCCCATACCTCTCCCTGCCTGCCCCATACCTCTCCCTGCCTGCCCCATACCTCTCCCTGCCTGCCCCATACCTCTCCCTGCCTGCCCCATACCTCTCCCTGCCTGCCCCATACCTCTCCCTGCCTGCCCCATACCTCTCGCTGCCTGCCCCATACCTCTCGCTGCCTGCCCCATACCTCTCCCTGCCTGCCCCATACCTCTCCCTGCCTGCCCCATACCTCTCCCTGCCTGCCCCATACCTCTCCCTGCCTGCCCCATACCTCTCCCTGCCTGCCCCATACCTCTCCCTGCCTGCCCCATACCTCTCCCTGCCTGCCCCATACTTCCAAGTGGTTGCTTAGCCGCTCTGCTGGTTGTGTGTGCTCTGCTGCATTCCCCCATTGCCCCCTCGTGATTTGCTGTTTTGGTCTCCTGTGCCAGCCCGTTCAACTGCCTCCTTTCCTTTCCTGGCCTCTCTTACCTCCTCTTGACCAGGGGTAATGTCCCCTCCCTAGTGCAGCTCCCAGGCATACCAACAATCACTGCTCCACCCATCCGCCTCCGTCTCCTCCTCCTCCTCCTCCTCCTCCTCCTCCTCCTCCTCCTCCTCCTCCTCCTCCTCCTCCTCCTCCTCCTCCTCCTCCTCCACCTCCTTCTTCTTCTCCTCCTCCTCCTCCTCCTCTTCGCCTCCACCCGTCGGACCCCATGCCATTGCCACGCATCATGTCGAGCCACACTCCTCCGCTCGCTCGCATGCTGCTGCCACCGCTGTGGCGGCACCATCGCTGGCAGCGGCAGTGCCGTGCCGCAGGCCGCTCCGCCCGTGCGTGGCGCCAGCGTCGCGCTGAACCTGCCCACCCGCAGCCTGTCGCTCGGAGGCGGCAAGTACACGCTGGCTTTAAGTGGCGATCTTGCGAGGTTTACGAGCAATGGCAGCGAGTGCCAAGAAGGGGTTCCGCATGCGGGCAATGACGGTGCTGCTGAGCGGAGAGATTGTGGATGATGCGGGGGCGAAGATGACGCCCACGGGTCTTGATGTGGACGGGGCGTACACTGCAGGGGACCTGAGAGGGTGGCCCAACGGGACCGTTGTTGGCAGCAATGGTGTGGTGCTGTATGCTGGAGCGCCACTCACTCTTACGTCTGAGGGCACCATTGCTCTTGCTACTCCTTCCATTCCCACTGCTGCTGCCGCTGCTACCCCTGCTGCTGCTACCCCTGCTGCTGCCACCCCTGCTGCTACCACTCCTGCTGCTGCCACCCCTGCCACTGCTACTCCTGCTGGTGCCTCTGCCCCACCCCCTCCCAAGGCTGCTGGTGAGTGTGTCTCCTACACTTCTCGTAAGCTTCTCCTATGCTTCTCCTATGCTTCTCCTATGCTTCTCCTATGCTTCTCCTATGCTTCTCCTATGCTTCTCCTATGCTTCCTGTTTGCCTTCCTGTTTGCCCTCCTGTTTGGTACATCGCTTTGTGATTCCGCTGCACATTTCCACATTCCTTGATTCCCAAATCTCAAGTGGGCTGTTCCAACCTGATTCTGTTTCCCCAGTTGTTCCTCCTCGCAATGGCAGGTTCACTTTCTTCACCGGCCGCTGCTCTCACTGCTCTCATCACTCTTGCCCTCGCCCCACTCATGCTCATGTAGCAACGCGGCTCTATGTAAGGCCAGGCGTGGGCACAAGGGGGCTGTGGTAATGGTTTAGTGTTACCGTGGAGTGGAGGCATGCGGTGTTCATGTGGTGGTGGGGGTGGAGGGGGTGGTGCTGCTTGTTCTTGTTGGATTGCCTTGCCTGTGCATGTCTCTGGATGGATTGGTTGGTTGGCGAAAGGAAGTACCGTAATTGAACCAGCCTTGAAGTAACGGCTATGCTGTGGTATAAGTACCAGTAATAAAACTTGTGATTCGCAACCTTGCAGTAACGGCTTGTACTGGTACCAACATTGCTTCAAGCATTCAGCAAAATGCCTGTTTGGCCTGGTCAACTAGAAAGAACATACCGTACGGTCAAGGAGATTGCCCTCAATGTGCAATCTCCATGACCAAACGAGCCAATCAATCTCTTTGACTGGATTACCCTAGAAGGCCCTCAAAGTGAACAATCAAGATTATCACGGTACATGAACCATGCCTTCCATTCCACACATTAAAGAATCTTCAAGTCAGTCCACCCAACCAAAGCCAACAATAAATATGCCGGGTCAAAGCTACAGCAACAAGAGCCTCCTTCATCACATGAACCACCTCCCCGCGGCGTATTTCGATTGGTTGTTGGTGGCCGTCTTATCCAGAAAGGGTCCGACGAACCAATGGCGTGCGTCGACAAACCACCAGACGAGGAAGAAGGAAACTACCACGAAGATTCCGACACACGCGTAGTTGAAGTTGCTTGCGGTGATGGGGAAGACCATTGGTAGCATAAAGATGCTGACTGTTTCAAGGACAAAGAGAATGGCTCCAATGTTGATCAGTTTCCTGCACTCCAATAGGCAGAGGGTGAGTGAGAGATAGAGAGAGGAGGGGAGGGGTGGAGGTGAATGAGTAGTGCCTTCTGCAAGGGTTAGAGAAGAGGAGAGAGACCATGGTTTAGGGAGGAGGGGTGAATGAGCAGCGCCGTCTGCAAGGGTTAGAGAAAAAGACAGAGATCAACTCTTATGCCCCATGCACACACTCGTACCAGGCTCGCACAGACCGAGGCAGAGCATTGCAGCAAGGCAAGGCAAGTCTTGAAAGGTCTCAAGAAACCCACATGAGGTATACATACGAGTTTCGAGACATGTCAAAAGATGTTCGCACCAGGAGCAAACCGACTGAGAGAGTGAGCACTGCTGCACCAAACCAAGCCATGCCATGCCATGCTGTGCTTTCTAACTCACCTGCCCCACGCACCCTCTCCCGCCCTCACCTGCCCCAGACGCCGACGTATTTAGAGAGGTAGAACGGGCCCGGTTCAAAGTCCTCCTCCCTTTGAATGAGCCGAAAGAAGATGGGGACAGCATAGCCGCCCACCCAGGCGACGGTGGCGAGGGAGGTGATGGCGGAGAAGAGGAAAGAGTCCTTGAGGAGCGGCAGGGAGAAGAGGATGGCGACGCCACAGCAGAGCCACACGGAGTAGATGGGCGTCTTGTCTCGGTTCACCCGCCGCCAGATGAACGCGAATGGCAGGCCCTTGTCTCGCGATATGGCGTAGGCCTGGGGGGATGGGGTGGGCGGGGGAGGGGTGCAGGGGGTGCAGGGCGGAGCGGAGGGGGGGAGGGGATGAATAGAAGGTGGGGAAAAGGAGGGAATGTGTAAAGGGGAGTAGCCAGGGGATTAGTGAGGAGGAAGAGGGCAGAGTCCTCGAGGAGGGGCAGGGAGAAGAGGATGGGTGAAAAGGATGAAGGAGCAAGCACAGGCAGGGGCGGGTGAGCAAGCACAGGCAGGGGCGGGTGAGCAAGCACAGGCAGGGGCGGGTGAGCAAAGCAAACACATGGACGGATGGGAGTGACTGACTGACCGCTCCGAGGGCTCCAAGCCAAGAAGGCCTCCTTGCTGAATTCAGATTTGAGAATTCTCAAAAGCAACTCGGGCTGTGCGTGCAAGCAGAGGGCGGAGGGAACAGTGACTGACCGCGCGGGAGGCGCCAAGAATGCCGGCGAAGACGCCAAAGAGGAAGGCGATGTAGATGAGTGAGAGCACCACCACCGCCCCTGTGCCGCTGCCGAAGCTGTTGCAGGAGACAGGCATAAAAGGGGACAGCAACACACGGTAGCACGAGGGGGGGTGCATGGGAGGATGGAAGAGGAAGGCGATGTAGATGAGCGAGAGCACCACCACCGCCCCTGTGCCGCTGCCAAACCTGTGGGGGGAGGAAGAGGAGGGCAATGCAGATGCGTGAGAGCACTGCCACTGCCCAGCTGGTGGGGAACATAACCCCTGCACAGCTGTCAAAAGTGTGGTGGGAAAGGGGTTAGGGTGATAAGGGGAAAGAGAGGTGAACACGGGGGTTTGGAAGAGGAAAGCGACGTGGATGAGCGAAAGCACGACTTTTGAGGCGCCTCAAAAGACGATGAGAGTGGATGAGCAAAAGCACGACCACCACCACCCCTGTGTCGTTGCCAAGACTGTGCGGGGAGGGGGGGGAGGATGGGGTGGGCGTGGTTGAGGTGAGAATGAGGAGGATATGAGTGAATACAGGAAAGGTGGGATATGACAACACATAGGGGGAAGGGGGAAGGGGGAAGCCATATACCAAGCCAATCACTAAGCAACTCCCGAACCTCTTATGGAGGCAGTTCTTGAGACACCCACCACGCCGCGAAGGCCTCCCGTATGATGGTAGCCAGGATCTGCTGCCAGCCCGTCATGCTGTCCCTGCTGGTGAGATTGCCACCGCTCTAAACACCCAAGTACCCTTGGTGAAGCCCACGGCAGGTTGCTTGCACGCCAGCAGCAGCCGAACCACTTCCCCAGCCACTTACCGAGCCACAAAGGCCTCCCAGATGGTAGTCAGTAACCGACTGATGAGCCGATCTGATCTGCTGCCCGCCCGTAACGCTATCCGTACTGGTGGGATTCTCTTCGTCCTGAATGCTAAAAGTGAAGGCCACGAGCAGCCCCCGGGCGAGCCACTTACCGAGGCACCTACCGAGCTGCCCACCGAACCACGTACCGAGCGAAAAAGGCCTCCCAGATGATGGTAACCAGGATCTGATTGCCGGCCGTAACGCTGTCCGGGCTGGTGAGGTTGTCGTCGTTCTGAATGCAGAAGGTGAAGGCGACGAGCAGCCCCCACGCGAGCAGGCTGACCGCGGACAGGCAGAGCACCATGCTGGCTGGGGACGCGCGATCGGAGCGCTTGGTCTCCTCTGCCATGTGGGCCACTGTGTCGTATGCGTAGAGGGAGTACTGCGATAGCTGCATCGCTGCTATGAAGGCGTACGCCTGTAAGAGAAGAATAGGGTGCGGTGAAGAGAGGTGAAGAGAGGTGGGTCTCAGGTGGAGAGCGCTTGGTCTCCTCTGCCATGTGGGCCACTGTGTTGTATGCGTAGAGGGAGTACTCGGATAGCTGCATCGCTGCTATGAAGGCGTACGCCTGGGCAGGGTCCAGAGGGGAAGGGAGGGAAGGTGAGAGAGGGAATAGATGAAGTTGCATGTGGGTGGTGGCGGGTGCGTGTCTCTGCCATGCTGGCTGGCAGAGAACGTGTGGTTAGAGCTCTTGATTTCTTCTGCTATGTGGGCGGCGGTGTCGTATGCGTAGAGGGAGTACTGGGACTGCTGCATGGCTGCTATGAAGGCGTAGGCCCGGGGGGGGATTGGAAGGGGGATGTGCAGCAATGGGTATCAAAGTGAGAGGAGGGGCACGCAGGTGAGAGGCGTTTTTGAGGCGCCTCGAAACTTGCCTGGGAGGTGGGGATGGGGGGGGAGGCAGGGATTGGCATCACAAGTCAGAGGAGGGGCACGCACTTGTGTGACACTTTGAGCAACATCAGTCCAGGGCCTGTCATGCTGGGTTTAGACGAAGAGATTCAGTGGTGCAGAGTGGTGCAAAGCGTGCGGCAATGACACATCCAGCTGCAACTTGTAGTGAGTGGAGATGAAAGCTGGCGCATAGCGCACGCACACAAGCCATAGATTGAGCGGTGCAGAATAGTGCAGAGAGGTGTAGAGTGTTGTAGGGTGGTGCAGTGGTGGCGCAGTGGCAGTGCACTGGCATTGCAGTGCGGTACTCACCACAGTGGCCAGCAAAGACACGTCCGGCTGCATGTGTTCTGGGTGAAGACCAAGGCTGGCACCTGGCGCACATAGGTCATTTATTCAACGGTGCAGAGCGGTGTACAGTGGTGCAGAGTGGTGGAGATGGGTACTCACCATAGTGGGCAGCAGAGACACGTCCAGCTGCACGTGGTGGTGAGTGAAGACGAAGGAGGCACTCTGGTGCACTGGCGCTACCGACGGCAGCAGAATCATGATGACTATGGCGAGACCCATCTAGGGACGAAGGGAGTGGTTAAGGGCAGAAGACATGGTGGGAACACGGGTAGAGGGAGGTTGGCTTGGCAGCAGCAGGGGAATGGGATGGGATGACTGGCAGTAGCGAGGGGAGCAGAATCATCTGCTCAAAGGGGAAACCCATGTGGAAGGGGAAACCCGTCTGGGGAGTAAGGGGGGGAGAGTAGCATGAGCCCGGGAGGGAAGGGGGATGGAGAATGATGGAAGAGAGGATGGGATGACTGGCGCAGCGCACAGGTGCTAGTGCTACTGCGGTGCAGCAGAATCCTGGAGACTATGGCGATTCCCATTTGGGGAGGGGGAGAGTGGTAAGTGGGAGAGGGGAGGGTGGAAGCAGGGGAATGCGGTGAGCGGCGGTATCAAGGGCAGCAGAAGAATCATGGTGTGGTGACAAAGGCGAGTCCCATCTGGGGGTGGAGCATGGGAGAGAAACATAGAGAGAAACTGATAAGTCTACTTGACCTGACCTGATAAACAGCACTGCTGATTACGGCCACACGACCGATGAACTCGATTGAGAAGGAGTTGAGGATGCCGCAGAGGAGAGCACGTGAATAGAGGGGGGGGGGGGGGGAGGAAGGAGGGGAGGAGGAGTGGTGCTGCTGAGCGGCTACAGTGAAGGGGATGCTGCTAAAGTGATGGCAACCCACCTGGTAATCATCAGCGCTCATCACGGCCACACGGCCGATGAACTTAATTGAGGAGTTGAGAGGAGGAGAGGGAAGTGTGGGAGGGGGGCGAGCAGGGGAGTGCGCGCAAGTGGGAAGGGAGGCTGACCTGACAAACAGCGCTCATCACGGCCATACGGCCGATCAACTTGATGGGGAAGGAGTTGAGTTGAGGAGTCGGAGTGTTTGTGAGCGGGCGGGCGGGCGGGAGGCATGCATAGAGCAGGGGAGGGTTTCGGGGAGCTACTTACAAAGCATTGCTGCCACAGTAGAGACAGGCAGATTACCTGATAGACGGCACTGACGACGGCAAGGCGGCCGATGAACTTGATGGAGAAGGAGTTGAGAATGCCGCAGAGGAGAATGGCGCCCACTGTGATGGCAAACGACTCGTAGTTGTTCAGCAGGTAGCCTCCCCCATTCGCCCCTCCTGGTGATGGGAAGGAGGGAGGGGGAGAGAGTGGAAGGGGAGGAGAAGGAGACGCGTGAGAGGAGAATGGCACCCACTGTGATGGCGCCCACTGTGATGGCAAACGACTGGTAGTTGTTTAGCAGGTAGCCCCCGCCGTTGGTCCCTCCTGGTGATGTGAGAGAGAGAAGAGGATGGAGAGAGCGTGAGGAGAGGGAGGCGGAGAGGGAGAGGGAGAGGGAGAGGGAGAGGGAGAGGGAAAGGGAGAGGGAGAGGGAGAGGGAGAGGGAGAGGGAAAGGGAGAGGGAGAGGGAGAGGGACGGGTGGGGGAGTGGGACGAGGAGGAGGGGCAAGGCAGAGGGGAAGGCGAAGCTGAGAACACTGGCACCAGCTGTGATGGCTAAGGCTGGCTGGCTGTTGGTTAACAGGTAGCCCTGCCATTTGACTGTCCTCTCTTGGCTCCGAGAAAGATAGGTGCAGAAGGATACGGGAGAATCCACTCCACTCCCGAATGCTCTCTTGTCTGTCCCTGAGCTACTTTGCTGGACGATCTTTGAGGAGCCTCAAGACGGACAGAGGAAAATGCTTCATAGTGCTCTCTTGTAACGAGGTGACTTTGAGCCGACTCAAAACGACTGTAGCGGAGAATGCCTCGTTGTGCTCTCTTGTCTGTCGAGACACAACAACTGTCGAGGGGACTCAAACCTCACCTCGAAACGGGGTGGGGTGATACACCTCAATACGCTCGCTCATTGAGGTCACAATACACCGTGCTCGGCACCTCAATACGCTCACTCATAGTGCTCTCTGGCCAGTCCATATGCATGGAGTAACTGTAGGATAATATATCAAACAATTCATTCCACCCGGCAATCTTCACGGTTCTTCTCAAGATAGGATAGGATGATGTATCGGGATGGGATAGAACAGGATAATGTACACACCATGCATGCATGCAGCCGGATGGGATGGAAGTGCCTGTGGCAGCGAGCACGGTGTACTGTAGCATGATCACCCCGCTGTACGAGACGCCGCTTGGTTCAAAGCCCCACTGTATGTTGGCCTGGTCTAACCCAAAGCCCCAGACAGATGGCAGTACCTGTGGCGACCAGCACGGTGTACTGTAGCATGATCACCCCGCCGTACGAGACGCCGCCCAGCCCCACAGAAAGGCCGAGAAACTCAAGCCAGCCCTGCAGAAGGGGCGGGGGGAAACCCGGGTTGGGATGAGATGATGTGGAGAGAGGGGTTGGGATGAGATGATGTGGAGAGAGGGGTTTGGATGAGATGATGTGGAGAGAGGGATTTGGATGAGATGATGTGGAGAGAGGGGTTTGGATGAGATGATGTGGAGAGAGGGGTTTGGATGAGATGATGTGGAGAGAGGGGTTTGAATGAGATGATGTGGAGAGAGGGGTTTGGATGAGATGATGTGGAGAGAGGGGTTGGGATGAGATGATGTGGAGAGAGGGGTTTGGATGGGATGATGTGGAGAGAGGGGTTTGGATGAGATGATGTGGAGAGAGGGGTTGGGATGAGATGATGTGGAGAGAGGGGTTTGGATGAGATGATGTGGAGAGAGGGGTTGGGATGAGATGATGTGGAGAGAGGGGTTTGGATGGGATGATGTGGAGAGAGGGGTTTGGATGAGATGATGTGGAGAGAGGGGTTGGGATGAGATGATGTGGAGAGAGGGGTTTGGATGGGATGATGTGGAGAGAGGGGTTTGGATGAGGCGCGGGGGCAGACGGGCTGGGATGAGATGTGGGTGGGGACGGGTCGAGTTCATGTTTGAGAATTACTAAAACAATAAAAGTAACCAGTACCATCGCACGCCACTCAAACGCAACCCCCCCCATGGGCCCCCCAAGGCCCCCCTAAGGCCCCCCTACCCCCCAACTCTCCTCAAAGCCCCTCACACAGCACCCCACCCCCCCCCCCCCCCCCCTCGCATCGCCCCTCACACAGCCCCCGTCACACAGCCCCCCTCACACAGCCTGGCCGGGCCAGAACTTACATGCATGCCCTGGTTTCTTATTGTCTGTCCCTGTCCCTGCTGGCCTCTGTCTCTCTCTAATAATTGACTTCCATTTCGGTTTCTGCCTGTCCCTGTCCCTCTCCCTGCTTCTGTCCCTGTCTCTGTTTCTCTTCCTGTTTTGGTTTCACATCCCGAGCCTCCGCTCGAGGTCTGGCCTGACCTCCCCGGGTCGCCCCGGACCTCTCCAGGCCTGGCCAGGGCACGGCCACACCGGCTCATATAGCATGCCAAACACGCACGAGTACCTAAGTAAGTTTGTAATCCATTTGTCAATCCTAGAGTATGTATTTACTATCCTACTTGTTCATTGTATCTTCACAGCAGAGAGCGTCAAGATGGCGCCCCGCAAGGGAGAACCCCACCTGCCAAAGGTGGTGTGGGGTGGGGTGGGGCGGGGTGGGAAGGAGGGACGGATGGGGGGATGGCGGGTGTGAGGGAATGGTGTGTGGCGGGTTCTGAAGCTTGGCAGATGTGGCGAGTGGTGGGGAGGAGAGGAGGTGAACACAGGGGAGGAGAGTTGAGCAGAGGGGAGGAGAGAAGGTGAACGAAGGGGAGGAGAGGAGGTGAACGGCGGGGAGGAGAGGAGTTGAACGGAGGGGGGAGAGGAGGTGAACGGAGGGGAGGAGAGGAGGTGAATGGAGGGGAGGAGAGGAGTTGAACGGAGGGGAGGAGAGGAGTTGAACGGAGGGGAGGAGAGGAGGTGAACGGAGGGGAGGAGAGGAGTTGAACGGAGGGGAGGAGAGGAGTTGAACGGAGGGGAGGAGAGGAGGTGAATGGAGGGGAGGAGAGGAGTTGAACGGAGGGGAGGAGAGGAGTTGAACGGAGGGGAGGAGAGGAGGTGAACGGAGGGGAGGAGAGGAGTTGAACGGAGGGGAGGAGAGGAGGTGAACGGAGGGGAGGAGAGGAGTTGAACGGAGGGGAGGAGAGGAGGTGAATGGAGGGGAGGAGAGGAGTTGAACGGAGGGGAGGAGAGGAGTTGAACGGAGGGGAGGAGAGGAGGTGAACGGAGTGGAGGAGAGGAGTTGAACGTAGGGGAGGAGAGGAGGTTAACGGAGGGGAGGAGAGGAGTTGAACAGAGGGGAGGAGAGGAGGTGAACGGAGGGGAGGAGAGGAGTTGAACGGAGGGGAGGAGACGAGGTGAACGGAGGGGAGGAGAGGAGTTGAACGGAGGGGAGGAGAGGAGGTGAACGGAGGGGAGGAGAGGAGTTGAACGGAGGGGAGGAGAGGAGTTAAACGGAGGGGAGGAGAGGAGTTGAACGGAGGGGAGGAGAGGAGGTGAACGGAGGGGAGGAGAGGAGTTGAACGCAGGGGAGGAGAGGAGGTGAACGGAGGGGAGGAGAGGAGTTGAACGGAGGGGAGGAGAGGAGGTGAACGGAGGGGAGGAGAGGAGTTGAACGGAGGGGAGGAGAGGAGTTGAACGGAGAGGAGGAGAGGAGGTGAACGGAGGGGAGGAGAGGAGGTGAACGGAGGGGAGGAGAGGAGGTGAACGGAGGGGAGGAGAGGAGTTGAACGGAGGGGAGGAGAGGAGTGAACGGAGGGGAGGAGAGGAGTTGAACGGAGGGGAGGAGAGGAGGTGAACAAAGGGGAGGAGAGGAGGTGAACGGAGGGGAGGAGAGGAGTTGAACGGAGGGGAGGAGAGGAGGTGAACAAAGGGGAGGAGAGGAGGTGAACGGAGGGGAGGAGAGGAGTTGAACGGAGGGGAGGAGAGGAGTTGAACGGAGGGGAGGAGAGGAGGTGAACGGAGGGGAGGAGAGGAGTTGAACGGAGGGGAGGAGAGGAGGTGAACGGAGGGGAGGAGAGGAGTTGAACGGAGGGAGGAGAGGAGGTGAACGGAGGGGAGGAGAGGAGGTGAACGGAGGGGAGGAGAGGAGCTGAACGGAGGGGAGGAGAGGAGTTGAACAGAGGGGAGGAGAGGAGGTGAACGGAGGGGAGGAGAGGAGGTGAACGGAGGGGAGGAGACGAGGTGAACGGAGGGGAGGAGAGGAGTTGAACGGAGGGGAGGAGAGGAGGTGAACGGAGGGGAGGAGAGGAGTTGAACGGAGGGGAGGAGAGGAGTTAAGCGGAGGGGAGGAGAGGAGTTGAACGGAGGGGAGGAGAGGAGGTGAACGGAGGGGAGGAGAGGAGTTGAACGGAGGGGAGGAGAGGAGGTGAACGGAGGGGAGGAGAGGAGTTGAACGGAGGGGAGGAGAGGAGGTGAACGGAGGGGAGGAGAGGAGTTGAACGGAGGGGAGGAGAGGAGTTGAACGGAGGGGAGGAGAGGAGTTGAACGGAGGGGAGGAGAGGAGGTGAACGGAGGGGAGGAGAGGAGTTGAACGGAGGGGAGGAGAGGAGGTGAACGGAGGGGAGGAGAGGAGTTGAACGGAGGGGAGGAGAGGAGTTGAACGGAGGGGAGGAGAGGAGTTGAACGGAGGGGAGGAGAGGAGGTGAACGGAGGGGAGGAGAGGAGCTGAACGGAGGGGAGGAGAGGAGGTGAACGGAGGGGAGGAGAGGAGTTGAACGGAGGGAAGGAGAGGAGTTCAACGGAGGGGAGGAGAGGAGTTGAACGGAGGGGAGGAGAGGAGGTGAACGGAGGGGAGGAGAGGAGTTGAACGGAGGGGAGGAGAGGAGGTGAACGGAGGGGAGGAGAGGAGTTGAACGGAGGGGAGGAGAGGAGGTGAACGGAGGGGAGGAGAGGAGTTGAACGGAGGGGAGGAGAGGAGTTGAACGGAGGGGAGGAGAGGAGGTGAACGGAGAGGAGGAGAGGAGTTGAACGGAGGGGAGGAGAGGAGGTGAACGGAGGGGAGGAGAGGAGTTGAACGGAGGGGAGGAGAGGAGTTAAACGGAGGGGAGGAGAGGAGGTGAACGGAGGGGAGGAGAGGAGTTGAACGGAGGGGAGGAGAGGAGTTGAACGGAGGGGAGGAGAGGAGGTGAACGGAGAGGAGGAGAGGAGTTGAACGGAGGGGAGGAGAGGAGGTGAACGGAGGGGAGGAGAGGAGTTGAACGGAGGGGAGGAGAGGAGGTGAATGGAGGGGAGGAGAGGAGTTGAACGGAGGGGAGGAGAGGAGTTGAACGGAGGGGAGGAGAGGAGGTGAACGGAGTGGAGGAGAGGAGTTGAACGTAGGGGAGGAGAGGAGGTTAACGGAGGGGAGGAGAGGAGTTGAACAGAGGGGAGGAGAGGAGGTGAACGGAGGGGAGGAGAGGAGTTGAACGGAGGGGAGGAGACGAGGTGAACGGAGGGGAGGAGAGGATTTGAACGGAGGGGAGGAGAGGAGGTGAACGGAGGGGAGGAGAGGAGTTGAACGGAGGGGAGGAGAGGAGTTAAACGGAGGGGAGGAGAGGAGTTGAACGGAGGGGAGGAGAGGAGGTGAACGGAGGGGAGGAGAGGAGTTGAACGGAGGGGAGGAGAGGAGGTGAACGGAGGGGAGGAGAGGAGTTGAACGGAGGGGAGGAGAGGAGGTGAACGGAGGGGAGGAGAGGAGGTGAACGGAGGAGAGGAGAGGAGTTGAACGGAGGGGAGGAGAGGAGTTGAACGGAGGGGAGGAGAGGAGGTGAACGGAGGGGAGGAGAGGAGGTGAACGGAGAGGAGGAGAGGAGTTGAACGAAGGGGAGGAGAGGAGGTGAACGGAGGGGAGGAGAGGAGTTAAATGGAGGGGAGGAGAGGAGGTGAACGGAGGGGAGGAGAGGAGGTGAACGGAGGGGAGGAGAGGAGTTGAACGGAGGGGAGGAGAGGAGTTGAACGGAGGGGAGGAGAGGAGGTGAACGGAGGGGAGGAGAGGAGGTGAACGGAGAGGAGGAGAGGAGTTGAACGAAGGGGAGGAGAGGAGGTGAACGGAGGGGAGGAGAGGAGTTGAACGGAGGGGAGGAGAGGAGGTGAACGGAGGGGAGGAGAGGAGTTGAACGGAGGGGAGGAGAGGAGTTGAACGGAGGGGAGGAGAGGAGGTGAACGGAGGGGAGGAGAGGAGGTGAACGGAGGGGAGGAGAGGAGTTGAACAGAGGGGAGGAGAGGAGGTGAACGGAGGGGAGGAGAGGAGTTGAACGGAGGGGAGGAGAGGAGGTGAACGGAGGGGAGGAGAGGAGTTGAACGGAGGGAAGGAGAGGAGTTGAACGGAGGGGAGGAGAGGAGTTGAACGGAGGGGAGGAGAGGAGGTGAACGGAGGGGAGGAGAGGAGTTGAACGGAGGGGAGGAGAGGAGGTGAACGGAGGGGAGGAGAGGAGTTGAACGGAGGGGAGGAGAGGAGGTGAACGGAGGGGAGGAGAGGAGTTGAACGGAGGGGAGGAGAGGAGTTGAACGGAGGGGAGGAGAGGAGGTGAACGGAGAGGAGGAGAGGAGTTGAACGGAGGGGAGGAGAGGAGGTGAACGGAGGGGAGGAGAGGAGTTGAACGGAGGGGAGGAGAGGAGTTAAACGGAGGGGAGGAGAGGAGTTGAACGGAGGGGAGGAGAGGAGTTGAACGGAGGGGAGGAGAGGGGGTGAACGGAGGGGAGGAGAGGAGTTGAACGAAGGGGAGGAGAGGAGGTGAACGGAGGGGAGGAGAGGAGTTGAACGGAGGGGAGGAGAGGAGGTGAACGGAGGAGAGGAGAGGAGTTGAACGGAGGGGAGGAGAGGAGGTGAACGGAGGGGAGGAGAGGAGTTGAACGGAGGGGAGGAGAGGAGGTGAACGGAGGGAGGAGAGGAGTTGAACGGAGGGGAGGAGAGGAGGTGAACGGAGAGGAGGAGAGGGTTTATCATAGGAACTGGCGGGATGCCACGTGTGGTGCGGCCGAGCCGAGCCTCTCACCTGGCTGTGACGAGCCTCTCACCTGGCTGTGACGAGCCTCTCACCTGGCTGTGACGAGCCTCTCACCTGGCTATGACGAGCCTCTCACCTGGCTGTGACGAGCCTCTCACCTGGCTGTGACAAGCCTCTCATCCGGCTGTGACGAGCCTCTCACTTGGCTCTGACGAGCCTCTCATCTGGCTGTGACGAGCCTCTCACCTGGTTGTGACGAGCCTCTGACCTAGCTGTGACGAGCCTCTCACCTGGCTATGACGAGCCTCTCACCTGGCTGGGACGAGCCTCTCACCTGGCTGTGACGAGCCTCTCATCTGGCTGTGACGAGCCTCTCACCTGCCTGTGACGAGCCTCTCATCTGGTTGTGACGAGCCTCTCACCTGGCTGTGACGAGCCTCTCACCTCGCTGTGACGAGCCTCTCACCTGGCTGTGACGAGCCCCTCACCTGGCTGTGACGAGCCATCATGGGAATATCATCATGGCGACCGCATGAGAAAATGGCACCTGCGCAAGGGGAGAGGGACAGTTCGAGTAGGGGGCAGATCAAGCGAGCGGGGGGAGCAGAGCAAGCGAGCAGGATAAGATGAGGGCGTATTAGAGAAAAAGCGGAAAGATGAGGCCTGAGTGCATGGGAAAAGGATTGGAGAATGGGTGTGAATCGCCAGGAATGCGCCGAAAGTGGGAGCAGAGACGAAAGTGGAAAGCAATTTGAGTAGCACGAACAGTGCAGTGCAGGCAATCCTGGCACATGATCGGAAGCGTCAAAAGACTCACCTGCGTGCAGAACAAGACAAGTGATATCGGTAGGTAGGTAGCAGCCGGGTGTCCGCGCCGCGAGTATGCATCATCGCATGCGGCATGGCATGGCATCGCGTGGCATGGAAGTCGCATCGCATGGCATGGCAGCACTTTTCGAGTCGAAGGTGTCGCCAGCTTCGTCGTCAACGAGAGCCATGTGGTTACCAGCCTCCTGAACAAACCATCACGTATACACACAGCACAAAACGAAACAGCATGAGTCAATATAGTACCATTCACAACCACTGAAGCTATATGCTAGCTTCAAGAGATGCACGCTGGAACCTTAAGCTCTCGCAGCGGGTCAGCCAATCGTCACGCACCTGGAAACTACTAACGCACGGTGATTCTAATCCAACGCACATGGAAAACCTCGTTCCAGGCGCGCCTGCCGCGCTGCTGCTCGTGCGCCTGCCACGCGGTTACTCGCGCGCCTGCCACGCGGTTACTCGCGCGCCTGCCACGCGGTTACTCGCGCGCCTGCCACGCGGTTAATCGTGCGTGCCTGCCGCGCTGTTACTCGCGCGTCTGCCGCGCTGTGACTCGCGCGGCGCCATTAGTGCTGATGCGCGCACGCCCTCCGCGTGCCGCGCTGATGCTAGGTGGGAGAGGAGGTGCGGGGTAGGGTGAGTGGTGCAAGCTAGGAGAAGTGAATTACAGGGCGCGGGTACAGAGAGGTATAGGCGCAAAGGCGAGAAACCGATGTGAGGTAGGGCACAGAGATGTATTTTTGCACAAGGCAATAGTACCTGGTTCGATTCGTCGGTGCAAGGATCAGTTTCTAACAGCTGGAGTCGCTACAGTAGTAATGTGAATATCTCGTCATGTGCTGAAGTTGAATATCCCGTCAAGGTGACCTCGAGAGTCGCATATCAGGACACTCTGCAGCTAAGGGGTGGGGAAAAGGAGCGGATGTGGGCGAGTCGACAAGGCAAGAAAGCAGGATGAGACCCGAAATGGCAGAAAAGCCTTCACACAAGTCAATACAGCAGTGCGAGATGGGAAATCTAGACGAAATGTAGGGTTTTTGTTAAACAAACAGCTGTTAGGTCAGAAACGTCGCTTTTGACGCTGCTCGGTGATCAGATAAACGAGATCGGATGCAACTTGAACCAGTCAGTAAGGCATAATCTACAAAGTGAATGTAGGAAAGGGCAGCGCATACCTGCGGATATAAGCAGCGCAGATCGTAGCGTTTAACTTTAGGCATTACGCATGATCATTCGCGTGCGCTGGTTGACTATTTCGTTGCCGTTTTGTTCGGTGCGAGCGTGGAAAGGGCTACGAGAGAGCAGACGCGAATGATACTCCATTCTATCCTTTTGGTCCTAGCAACGTCGACCGAACTAGGAACAATCGTCTGACGGTGTTGGTGGCGGAATTGATACGAGAGCGCAGTACGGAGGCGGGGATGCGGTGAGGACGCGGGAAAACCGAAAGCAACAGTATGTGCGACAGAACAAGTGACTAGCGTGCGACGCAACAGGCGATTCGCATGTAACACTAGCCGTCGCCGCAACAGATGCCTAGCACGCGTCTCGACCAAAGACTTGGCTAGGTAGTAGGAAACGGCTAGGATGCGGTGAGGACGCGAGAAAACCGAAAGAAACAAGTATGCGCCACGGAACAAGTGACTAGTGCGCGACGCAACAGGCGATTCGCATGTGACACCAGCCGTCGCCGCAACTGATTCCTAGCAAGCGTCTCGACCGAAGACTTGGCTAGTAAGTTGGAAAGATAAGCAACTTCTGTTATTGGGAACGCATCGCTAGCGGCGTCACTATAGTGGGGAACGGCCACTTTCAGATGTATGAAAGGCGACGAATATGGAGAGAGAGTAGAGAGTGGGTGCTTGAGCAGATGGGGATGAAATGCAACCCCACCCCACCCACCCACAACATGTTCTGAAACATGTCGGTCAAAAGAAATATAACTAAGCAGCACAGCCTCTCGCCCTAATCAGAAGCGGCAATGCGTGACCAATGCGCTTGTATGATTGGGAAACAATCCCAAAGTAGCTCTAGAGGGAAGGGATGGGGAAAAAAGAAAAAAGACGAAACACAAAAAAAGGGGGGGTGGAAAACAGAGTCTTCATCCGGAGTGTGATTGGAAACACTATCGAGGGGGATGTCAAGCGGTTCCGATTTGCAAGGGGTGTCGACGCGATTCCAATTTGCAAGGGGTGTCAAAGCGGTTCCAATTTGCAGGGGGTGTCAACAAGGTACTGATTTGCAGCGCGGTCTCGTCAATAGCAAATTTGGATCCTCTACTTATATGCATGCCAACCAACTAACACTTATAACAAAATGTAAATAGAAAATAGAAACAGCATCAGTAATAGCCAAATGTAGTAGCATGAGCAGTAGCAAATAACAGCAACACCAGCAGTAGCACCACATTACAGCTGTAATACTAATACTACAGCTAGAGCTACAGCTGTAATAGTAGTACCACATTAAAACCTTGATATTAGTACTACAGCTATATCTACACCAACACCAACACCAACACTAACAACAACAACAACAACAACAACACTAACAACAACAACAACAACAACAACAACAACAACAACAACAACAACAACAACAACAACAACAACAACAACAACAACAACAACAACAACAACAACAACAACAACAACAACAACAACAACAACAACAACAACAACAACAACAACAACAACAACAACAACAACCAACAACAACCAACAACAAAAGCAGCACCAAGAAAAATAAGCAGCGACAGCAGCATCATGAAATAGCAGTAGCAAATTGCTGCAACATTAGAAATATTAGCAATATCAAATAGCAGAAGCACAAGCAGCACTAGAAAAAATAGAAGGGGAAGGAGAAGGCATGTAATCAGACAAGCAAACTGTCACTAAATTACCAAGGGAAGGAGAAGGGGAAGGAGAAGGGGAAGGAGAAGGGGAAGGAGAAGGAAGGGGAACAGGAAGAGGAAGGAGAGGGGAAGGCGAAGGGGAAGGAGAAGGCGAAGGAGAAGGCAAAGGTGTAGGAGAAGGCGAAGGAGGAGGCGAAGGAGAAGGCGAAGGCGAAGGCGAAGAAGAAGGCGAAGGAGAAGGCGAAAGAGAAGGCGAAGGAGAAGGCGAAAGAGAAGGAGAAGGCAAAGGAGAAGGGTAAGGAGAAGGGGAAGAAGAAAGGGAAGGAGAGGCAAGGGGAACAGGAAGAGGAAGGAGAAGGGAATGAGAAGGGGAAGGAGAAGGGGAAGGAGAAGGGGAACGAGAAGGGGAATGAGAAGGGGAGGAGAAGGGGAAGGAGAATGGGAAGGAGAAGGCAAAGGAGAAGGGGAATAAGAAGGGGAAAGAGAAGACATGAGAAGGAAGGGGAAGGGGAAGGCAAAGGGGAAGGAGAAAGATAAGGCGAAGGAGAAGGCGAACGAGAAGGCAAAGGTGAAGGAGGAAGAGAAGAAGGAGGAGAAGGAGAAGGAGAAGGTGAAGGAGGAGAAGGAGAAGGAGAAGGTGAAGGAGGAGAAGGAGAAGGAGAAGGAGAAGGAGAAGGAGAAGGAGATGGAGAAGAAGAAGGAGAACGAGAAGGAAAAGGAGCAGGGGAAGGAGAAGGAGAAGGGGAAGGGGAAGGAGAAGAGGAAGGAGAAGGCGAAAGAGAAGGCGAAGGAGAAGGGGAAGGAGAAGGAAGGGGAACAGGAAGAGGAAGGAGAGGGGAAGGCGAAGGGGAAGGAGAAGGGGAAGGAGAATGGGAATGAGAAGGCGAAAGAGAAGGCGAAGGAGAAGGGGAAGGAGAAAAGGAAGGAGAAGGGGAAGGAGAAGGAAGGGGAACAGGAAGAGGAAGGAGAGGGGAAGGCGAAGGGGAAGGAGAAGGCGAAGGAGAAGGCAAAGGTGTAGGAGAAGGCGAAGGAGAAGGCGAAGGAGAAGGCGAAGGCGAAGAAGAAGGCGAAGGAGAAGGCGAAAGAGAAGGCGAAGGAGAAGGCGAAGGAGAAGGAGAAGGCAAAGGAGAAGGGTAAGGAGAAGGGGAAGAAGAAGGGGAAGGAGAGGCAAGGGGAACAGGAAGAGGAAGGAGAAGGGGAAGGCGAAGGGGAAGGTGAAGGCGAAGGAGAAGGCAAAGGAGAAGGCGAAGGCGAAGGAGAAGTTGAAGGAGAAGAAGGCGAAGGAGAAGGGGAAGGAGAAGGGGAATGCCAAGG